CAACATACTCAGTACATACATACATACGGTAATACATACAATACATACAGTACATTACATAAGGTACATACATACATACATACATACATTACATATCATACCATCTTACATACATATCGTACGTACGTACGTACGCACGCATATATATATATAATATATAATATTATTTATATATTTATAATATTAAATACTATTATATATTATACATTATTATATAATATATATAATAATATTATTATATGAGGTTGGTACAGGGATTGTCTTCTCCGCGCCTCCCTCCCCTCTCCTCCCACCTCGCCTCCCCTGCCTCACTATCTGCCCTCCCTCAACACCTCCAGGATCCTTTATATTTTGCATAATATTTAAAAGCACGCAGGCACGTTACACATACATCAATCATGCATATAGTAGCATCAATAGTAGCATCAATATTAATTTTTCGCCACAAGTTCGTGTGATTGGCTTCAGTTGTTAGCACTACCCACAATGCCACGGCTCTTGTTTAGGCATGGCTGTCATGAAAATATGTATTTGCTTACTTTTGTATATATTTATGTGCTTTAGCGATGTACGGGCGTTGTTAGATTTTGAGGAGCTTCGATCAGTTCAGTACTCCTTAGATATACTAAACAGTCCCGTCCTGCTATCTCAGGTAATGTGATTACGTGCGGTAGGGTCGTACTCGTACTCGACTCGTAGGCTTTACTTTCGCCAAAGTCAAGGGGTCGTTGTCTAGCCGTGATATCATGTCTGTAGCCCACTACGGCGCAAATCCACTTTAGGCACCTTAGTTATCACGAAGTGATGCACAGATTTCTGTGTATCATCAACTGATGCACAGACTTTCCGTATATCAAGGAATGATGCAAAACCCCTAACCCTAACACACTTCGTGATACCTAGACTAAGTAAGGTTATACTTTATGACTTAGGGTTAGGGTAGACCGAATAATTATGTCCATATAACCTTTTTTATAATTTTGGTTAGGGTTATATATAGGGACAGAACGGGTTCATTGAATTCCGTGAGATCGCATGCAAAAATAGCCTAGATACAATGAATGTACCGCGCAAACCCAGAGAATAGCGGTTACAAAGTCTCGGCTAGTCAGTTTTCTGCGGCAAGGAATGCCCGAAGTGAATCAGCTCGCGGCCGGTTTGCTGGTGCGTTTTGCAGAGACTAGAACTGTCAAACTGGGTTTATTCTACACGACGATACTTTGCTCCCGATTCGGGAACTTACTATGTATGCGCGCAAATACTCTGTATTAAACCTAATATACCTGTTACCAAAATTCGAAAGTGACGAGCGCGGAATTTCCTGAGCCGCCATTTCTTGTGCAGCTGTGACGTAGCTTCGGTTTGAAAGCGGCTTCACCGACCAACTCGGAGGCGCAGCGCTTGGGCTTGCGCAATCACCCTATGCGCATTTGGGAAATTGACATACGTCACAGGGTCAACAGAATGGCGCTCAGGATATTCGCCGCGCTCTGTCACTTCGAATTTTTGTTAACAGGTTAATATTAGTTATAATACAGAGTATTGCGATACATAGTAACGTCTCCGAATCGGCGGCAGAAAGCATTCGTGTCTTAGATACAACGCGCAGTTTGGAAGTTTCTGTCTCTGAAACGCCACCGCAGCAAACGCGGCGCCCGAGTGATTCAGCTTGCGGGCATGTCGCCTCCCACAAAAGGCATAGGGAGGCTTTGTAACGCTATCCTCTTGGCGTTTCTTTGGGTTACATTATTGTATCTTAGCAAATGCATTGCGCTGCTAAATGCGCGCCGCGAAAAAAAGACATATGAGCCCGCCGGGCCGTTCCCTTCTACGTGCTTTTACTTGCTACCGTGATTGGTCTGATTGTTTGTAAATGGCCAACGTAATTTACTAAAGTTAATGAAGCGGGGTTTCTGAAAAACAATCTTTTAAGAAGTAAATAACGATTCCAGTGAATGTATACACATATCAGTAGCAAGGTAAAGCCATGTAGAAGGGAACGGCAGGGTTTTTTTCGCGCCAATAGCGGCGTACGGGCCGCATTAGCAGCGCATGCATTTTGCATGCGATCTCACGAAATTTCAATGAACCCCGTTCTGTCCCAATATAACCCTCACCAAAATATAAAACAGGTTATATGGGACAGAATTATTCGGTCTAGGGTTAGGGTTTTTGCATCATTCCTTGATATACGGAAAGTCTGTGCATCAGTTGATGATACACAGAAATCTGTGCATCAGTTGATGATACACAGAAATCTGTGCATCACTTCGTGATACCTAAGGTGCCTAAAGTGGATTTGCACCGCCTACTACTACTAGTACTACAGATATGTACCTTAGGTACATATATGTATACACAAAGTGTACCAGACTTGTACTACAGAAGTGTACCCTAACCCTAACACTAACCCTAACCCTAACCCTAACCCTAACCCTAACCCTAAACATATCTCATTTAAAAATATAAACATAATACTAAACAACCTAAAACTACCTCGGGTACATATCTGTAGTACCTGATACGACAACGACCCCATCTGCGCCAGTGGCAGTAGCCTGCTGCCTAGGCTAGTAAGCAGTCTAAGACCAGGGTGTACTTTACTACTTGTTAGTCTAAAGCTAGGGCTTAGTCGCAGTTAGATTCAGTCCCCAAGTCAGTGATTACTGACAATAATGGTAAGTTTAACTGTACAAGAACGAACATTATTATACTTATAGTATTAGTAATACTACTAATACTATATCATATGTTCAAATAAATTCAATAAATACTTCAAGTTCAGTGAATTTCTCATTGTGGGAGTTGGACCTTGTTTTTGAAGCTAACTGATAAACAGTGTTCGAAATTCACGTCGGCCCGTCGGCCCGTCGGCCCGCCGCCGACAGTTTCGATGCCGGGCCTACAGCTTCTTGATACAACAGGCCCGCTGATCCTACAGCTATTTGATCACCGAAAATTCGAAACACTGAGAAACTGTTACCTGTAGAAATCTGTTCATGCATATTAACTTCCTGGGGTATTTATTTGAAAACTAATCCGTGATAAACCGTGACATACATGTATACAATGTGTTCGCCCACTGCAATCAACTTTAGTTGGCATTCAAGAAACGTGCGTGGGATGTTCGGACGCACAGGTTAGCACAGGTTCCTGCATCCAGTAGCAGCGTTGGCATACCAAAAATCGATAAGTGGGTGGAGCTTACTTTTGGCCAGTGGTAGTGAACCCTACATTGTGTTGGCCAGGGTTTATTTACGTGCACGGGTCGTGCAGCACGCTCACTGTTCACGTGCGCTAGGTTGTGGAGTAATTCTCACATCCCCGCGCATTTCACGTTTGGATGTAAACAATAAAGTATCACTGGTAGTTATTACAAACGATCAGTATACTGTTTTAAAATAATATTAAGAAGATTTAGATAATATATCATGTTGAATTATACAGTAAATAATAATAATTGTCTCATGTTTTAACACACATGTCATAATTAAGTCACTGTAGCTGCAAAGCACGTCGTATTACTTACTAGTCATGCAAACAGCAGTACAGCCTCGTCGCACCACTCAGGTTTAACCGTGTCATATTGTTTTTAACGTTTGGAAAAACTATATACATTTATACAGGGTGTAGCTAAATAAAAGCTTCCTTACGTAAGAGCTTGTATGTCTACAAAATACATTTACTTTGGACACACTCAACACTGACGGAATTCTCCAGTGCCCATCAAAATTTTACAGTAGGTAAATTTTACATAATTTTTTCTTTTTCCACCAAAAAGTGTTGCTAGTTGTAAGCTATTGGAGTACCATGAAATGGCTCTAGATTGCATCTCAGAGCTTATAATTTAAAAAAATGTTCTGGCCCCCAGACCCCCATAGAAGTCCCCGATGTGTACCAGACTACCAGTCTGTCTCTCTGCTGTCAAAGTGGAAAGTCGTAGTTACCAAGGAGCTACATATAACAACGATGTGGCGTTTCCTTAATTGTGAGCCCCCAGCAACGAAGCATAAACAGTCATCCGACGAGAGGAAGGAAAAACAGAGGGATTATGATTATGGACATTGATAATGACTAATAAACATAAGGAAGAACATGATATGCTGTTTTATTACTGTAATTTGCTCCAAAATTGGCGGGCCTACAGCTTTGCTGGCGGGCCTGCAGCTTTTAGAAGCTATAGGCCCTGCAGGCCTACAGCTTTTTCTGCTCAGTGGCAAACACTGCTGATAAATGTGAACTTCCTCAAATGCATGTACATTAGTTGTTGATGCCAAGAGAACAGCGTAGAAAGCCTGCCTACTCCATGATTTTTATTTTAATGCAAACAAAAGCCATTAAGTTATAACTGTAAAGCTGTAAGTTGTAACTTAATCATATAAATAATAGATCTAATATATGCATATTACCTGGTAGTAGCAGTAGTCAGTATCCAAACTGGTTCCTACCTAGATTGTGAACGTTTTGTATTTGCCATTATGTATATCTCATATAGGGAGTCAATCTATAGGTGTTGTATCACACACTAATGAAATTCATTGTGTGTCATAATATAAATGCATGTATTGCACAAGGTATACACGTGCATGCATAGCGTCAGGAGTGTATCAATATTGATACACTCCTGATAGCGTTGAATAGATTAATTCTCATTTAATTTGTATTTATTACTTGGAAATGTTTTGTGCATGAATATTGAATTTTGTGTGTTATGTATTTAGTTACAGATTATATTTTATAATGATATATATATTTATCAGACTTAATTGATCTTCTTATGGATAGCCTTTGTTCTTAAACAGGTGTTTTTGTGTTTCCAGGAAAATGCAGATGGTACTGTGTTGATTTCTTCAAAGCATGGGCAACAGTATCAATGTGCCCTCCCTGATACACAAGTTAGTATCGAAAAAGAAAAGGAGGATGAGAAGGTTGCCACAGAGATAGGCATTTCAGAGCTTCTAAAACCACTTTCTGATGCACCTTGTTTAATAAAGGTATTACATTTTTTATGAAATACATTTTATGTACATACAAGCATTGCGTGTGCATGCATTTGTGTGCAAATGCATGTAATCAGTCCTGATGTAATGTGTATTTATAATTTGTGGCAAAAGTTTTTATTAAAACTCATGGCTTTATACCTTGTTGACTGTGCAGTTTTAATATAAGTATTGTACTTGCTCGTGCAATATGTACAAAATCTTTTTTAGGAGGCAGGCTGGTGGATATATGAATTTTGTTATGGGAAGTACATAACCCAGTATCATTTAGAAGGTGAGCATTTTAACATAATAGGAATTTATGTTGCGAGCTAAGGCAAAATCATATGCTAATTTGAGAAGTGTTGAAGAATTCATTTTTATGCTAAATATTCCAAGTGGACATTAATGTAATTGACGTAGTCTACCTGAATGATCAATGATGTACAGTGTTTCCCCTACATTTGCATGAGGCGGGCTACCTCGCTCAAATTCTCAGCCGCCACACAGAAATTTGTCCAAAAGACCGCCTTGCGGACGAAAATCACTGTTCTTCCATAGAACAGTGCTTATAATGCACCAAAATAGCTTAGAATGCACCAAATTACACCATTTTTTCAAACATTTTCTGGTGGGCATGCCCTCAGACCCCCCCTAGCTGGGCAAGCACTTGCAGTGCTCGCTTTGCTAGGACCTTGAAATTCGCAAACACACGAAAAAAAATTACCACCTCACAGACCTTTTTGGCCAGGGGAAACACTGATGTACATAATCGTCATTTTCTAATTTTCTATTTTTCAAGGCAAAAAAAGATCAGGAGATGAAATTGTACTAGGAATCTATGAATCAGAGTATGACTGGATTGAGAATGGAGAGAAAAAGGTTAGTAAAATAGATCCTATTTGGCAAACGTGACTTTATAAGGTTATAATGTGTCAAGAGTATCGAACAGTTAGAGATGATAATAAAATATAACTGTCCCACTAAGTGATTGCATATGTTTGTCTGTACCTTACAGCAATCAGCTAAGAATGAGAATCAGCTGTCTAGATATCACAGTCAGCATTATGTTAATGGAACCAAGTGTGATCTGACAGAAAAGGAAAGAAAGACTGAAGTCAGAGTGAGTTCTACGTGATGTGCACTGTTATTGCAGAGATTTTGTTTCAATGCAAGATAATGACATTACCACAAAGAGGTGTACCGTCAAACGTGTGAAAGGTCACCTTTATAGAACGGACACATTTTTATAAAGGAAACTTGGCATTTTCCCTGAGTGGCAGTTATACAGTGAAACCACATCTACAGAACATATACCTGTCTATAAAGGCCAATTTTGGTATTTCTATTTAGTCATCCTTATATATCTAGGTTTATTGTAAATAAATTGTGTGTATAGAAAGAGTACATAATGTGCTATATGCAATTGTATTCTGCTAATAAATTTTTTATGTTTGTTACCTGTGATGTAGTAAAAAGTAAATATTGTAAATATTAATTTATGTTATTTAAGATAATGGATGCTCACCCTACCTTAATTTGATTTGGTTTGATACTTCTGTACATAAATAGACATGTACTTTCCCTACTGGCTAATAATTTAGTAATATGTTAGCTGGTAATAAGCCAATAATTAGACATTATATTAGTCTCTAATAATCATTGGTTTTTCACCTTATAATTTATCTATTTACATTAATAATTATGTTTTGCCATATCTCAGTTTATGTGTGAGGAAGGCAAGGGAGACTACATAGCGCGCATTGAGGAACCACAGACCTGCTCATACATTGTGACGGTGCATACGATGCGCATATGCCACCACCCGTACCTAAAGCGACCTCAAAAGCTGAAATCCCACCCGATTGTCTGTAGCCCTGCATTGTCACAGCAACAGTATGATCGCTATCTGAAAGTAGAAGAAGGTATGTGACATGTTTCTCTAATGTCAATTTATTATGTGTAGGACGTATTATTTTATTCATCAATATAGTCATTAATCAATGATCAATGGTCAATGACCAATATTCTATTAAGCATACTCTCCACCTTTTTGCACGGGTATTGCTCTAATGAAGATTAAACGTTTATTGGCGAATTAATCGAAATTGAATCAATCACTTGTTTTATTTATAGAGGAGATATATCTCTATGCTCAAACCTAATAATTTGAATTTTTATGTAAAAATGGTATTTTGGATATTTCTCAACTACCAGAAAGAGTGAGGATACAAAATATTTTTGCCACATGTTAAGCACAATATGGACCAAAATAGTGCGTCAGGATTTTTTTTTTAAGTTTTATATTTACCGAGAAAAATTGCTTAAAAATCAAGTTGTGTGTTAGAATTGAAAATTTTAGCGAATAAAGAGGCATAACTAATAAAATACGGCACTTAATAACAATCCCTGACGCACTTTTTTACAGCAATATGTTACCATTAAAACGAGTGTAAAATTTAATTAATCCAAGTTGTAATCACAGAGAAATATCCATTTATACATCGGCTACTATGTCAGAAATCGAAACGGAGAAATCAGCGTTTTTCTATTTTTTACAATGATTGACCGCCTGTGTGCAAAATGGGTGAACGTGTGGGAAATATCTACTGTTAGTACTTACTGCGACATATCCATGACTAACTGACACCACTAAATTGGTAATATGTTCCATGCACTTTGAGAAATTGTGAGAAATTACGAGGTTACCATCACACTTTCATGCAAAACGCGCATACGATGTGTACTGCATGCCATTACTAAGCTATGTGTCAACAAACACGCGCCTAAATGCAAGGCGTGTAACAAGTGAAACGGGGCTATTTTCGGTCGCGCGGCAATTTCAACTATCACTGGCAGATGATAGCTGTAGGAGGGTTGATGCTGAATCATACTGGCTTAGTGAATATCATGAAAATTCTGGTTGTATCATGTCTCTGACGTCATCAGTGACATCAGCTGCTGCTCACTACACGTGTACGCGGGCAATCAAAATGCTCTAAAAGTTCACATGTACCGTTATATGGAGAAATGAGCATATACAGAGGTGGCACATAGTGTTAGCCACCAAATAAAGTCGAAAATTAAAAATCGGTAAAATTTTGCCTAAAACCTTGAGAGTATCCTATAATAATTACAATGAATCAATAATCAATGATCATTATAATACGGCAGAAGAAACACAATTACCATGAAAATAAATAAGGTTTTATATAGTTCTCTGAAAATACAGATTCATTTGGTGAACCTATTGTTGGGATATGAGATGTTTGTTTCATTGGCAGAAGCTGAGCGTGTAAAAGAGGAACTGGCAGCTAAGAAGGCAGAGGTTTTGGCACATTTGAAGGGTACAAAGACTGAAAGTGCAGGTAACAGAGGCAAAATCTTAGATGTGCTGTTGTGAGACTGTATTTGGATATCCAATAATCAACCGATAACTAGGCAACAAATAACTTATGTTATTTGTTGCCTAGTTATCAGTTTGACAGCTTTCATTTGTGCTACCCACACATATGGAACATTTTGCTTAATTTTGTAAATACAATGGCAGCATCAGGTGTAACTAGCATTGCAAGAGCTGACACTATGTACAAATTAATTTTGTATTTTTTTAAACATTTTTGGGTGATGTGAGATGTTAATGTCACTAAGAAGTTGTCTTTGTTCTCCAGAAGCTAAATCAGACGCTGTGATAAGTGGAGATAACCTCGTGAGGGAGAGTGATGGGAGACAAGAGGATGGTGAGAATAAGGTTGAGCAGAGCAGTGAGCAGGATGCAGTGGGGGCAGAGAGGGTAGAGGAGGAGGACGAAGAAGCAGATGGTGTGTCTGTTCAGATGAAAGTTATAAACTCAGAGGAAGAGTTGGACAGGTACATGAAGGAAGTTGCAAAAGAAGCTCAAAGCCAAATGGTCATCAAACATTATAAGAGCTTTCAAGACGAAACACTTAAATTACTGGAAGAATCAGAAAGGTACTTGCGTTCACATAATGCTGTTTGATGGACAGTATAATTTATAGCATCGATGGTAGTTTTAATATTGATCAATGAGGGAATACTGCTTGATACTAGAGTTTACTTCTCCAGCCCAGCACCCTCCGTAGATGACTCATGTTAGATTACAGAAAATATGGTTTATTAAAGGTCATGCCTAGGAACTCTACCTAACCTAACCAAATCTTACTTAAGTATAACTCAAGATTATTATGAGGTTAAATTTTGCTGTATTAGTATAATTGTAAACCTTTTAGGCAACACATAAAAATAGGCATGTGAACAATTTATTAAAAGCAGGTACTATCCTAACATTCTTCATTGTTATTGCCAGATGATGGTAGTTGCCAGATCAGAGAGTTTTGGAAGATGTACTAATTTTGGATATTTATTTAGTGTATGTAACTCTTGAAATTAAGATTGTGATTTTGCATCAGTGATGAAGAATATGATGACTATGAGGAGAAATTGACTGAACAGCTCGAGAAAGAACTCATGGAAGAATATGAGAAAGGTAAAGTCTGCCTAATCCTGAAGAAACTATCCGAGCTGTATAATTTGTACAAGCTCTAATATATCACGTTTTTTGTGTGTTTGGTGCCTTCTGCTGCAAGAAGTTATTGAAGGAAATCAATTTTGTGTCATTAATGAATATATTGTGTGTATTATGGATTTTGAAGGTGTGCATAAGACAGTTAGTTATAATAATGTTTCTACCAATAAGCATGACAAATACATGCAAGTAAATGCCTTGTGTCTCACATATGCATAATACGCACATGCACAGGCACATTCGCACACACACGCACACACGTATGTGTGTGCGTGTGTGTGTGTGTGTGTGTGTGTGTGTGTGTGCGTGTGTGTGCGTGTGTGTGTGTGTGTGTGTGTGTGTATAATATATTCAAGAGCTAATAATACTTGGGTAATGTTAGCTCTTGATATATTATTTCCCAGGCCTTCATATCATGCTATGTAAAACAGGTAATTGTCAATGAGACTAAATTGACCACGCAAAGTTCAATTGCTTATTGTACTATAATTTCATTCTAAAAACTCATAAAGGTGCAAAATATTTCTAGAATTGAATACAGTATTGGGAGATGACCTTAGTGCACAGAAGGTCAGTGAGGTCAGACAGCAGCTGGAGACTGTGCTGACATCTACATCCCAGGAACAAGATGATGATGATGATGATGATGATGCTGAGCAGGTAGTACATTATAAGATCTGTACCAAATGCTGTTTGCTATGATTTTGAATGTTTCTTGCAAAAACAACATTAGATTCAATAATAATAAATTTAATATTAAAAGTGTTCCTAGACTGCGAAAGGTAGAGAATGTACCAGGAAGTAAGAATGGTTGCTATATTATATTATGTTTTATATACAAATGCAAGAGGAGTAAAACTTCAGTTGTAAGTTACACCTTCAGCACTCTAGCAATTTCCCTCTTGTATGACAAAAGGAGAATGGAGTGAACCCTTGCCTGGTTGAAACGTGTTTACACGTTTAGTTTGTTTCTCCTTTTTGTATTTCAGTCAGAAGAATGGGCTGATACATCAGATGAAGAGACGCTGGATGGAGATGCTGAGAATGACGTGGCACTTACTAAACTTGCCAATGCTCTGAACAAGCTTCTGAGACAACTTGATAACCTGGAGGAAAATATAGAGAGCAACGATGAAGAGCTAGATCAAGTTCGTGCATCTTGTTGCTACTACTTATCATTTCACACTGTGAGAAAGAAAATGATATTTTAGCTCATCTGACAGAACGAATACATTGTTTACCCCTGTGACACTCAGCCAGTCTGTCTCTTTAATGCAAGAAGTGTTTAGCTGTCAGTAGGTATAGAGGTGTGTCTCTATGTATATGTAACTGTAGAAAACTCTTCCCAGCATCTGTATGAATCCAGGAAGCAGTTATGCATGTGGGGTACCTATGCAGGACCATCCCACATGGCATTTGACACTAACTATCTTTTGTCCCACCCTTGCGTTTTCACTCTTCCTATTTGCTTCGGGGTTTGTTTTCAAAATCGGCTAATCTTGGTCATCATGTGTAGCAGGGAGAAGATGCATTGCAGGATGGGGCACCAGAAAACAAGATGGAAGATGACCAACAGACTGAGCCTCTATCTGACTTGACACAGATGCCAACCTCTACAGCAGAAGTGCGAAAGGACATATTGATGAAGAAGGACAAAGATGAAAAAGAAGAAAATGGAGATGTTTATGAGGCACTAAATATGAAGAGGGACCCTGCGAATAGTAAGGGTCAATGTTATTCGATAATTAACTAGTTTCAAAAGTAATAGTGAATTATCGTGTTTCTAGGTTGACAACCTGAATTATATACTAAACTGGAGTTACTCGATGTGTTATTAGCTCATCTGACGTAGTCAGATGCAGCTTGTAGAATCGCATGATTGTCCGTGCGTCCGTGCGTCCGTGCGTCCGTCCGTCCGTTCGTCCGTCCGGCCGTCCGCGTCCGTGCGTCAACAGTTGGGCATAAATCTTAACCGCTCGACGTACGGTCACGATATTCGGGACGTGGGGGGGTAATCCGAAAACGAGTTGGGACGTCGAAGCTGGGGGTTAAAGGTCAAAGGTCAAGAGGTGTAAAAGAAGGGGGAACATTCCCTCCTTAACTTAAGGTATAGGGAGGAAATTAAACGGCTCGACCTAGGCTCGTGATAGTTTGTGTATAGCATCATGGTAGGAAAAGCCATCACTGTGCCGAAATTGGAGGTCACAGGTCAAAGGTCAATGGGGCACAGGGCAGATTTTAGACATTTTCTGGGACATGGTCTGATGGAGTGATTGAAAATCTTTTTTGTTTCAGCGGTGACCTAGCATTTTTATGGCTTTATTGAAAGGACCATGAATTGTACTTTCTGCTGACATGCGAAGAGTAAGTGTCAAATAACCTTTTGACCCTCAAGAGGAGGGTTAAACATGGATTTGTTTACTGTTAGAAAGAATTTGACTGCCGGGTTTGCTAGTAGAATCTATACATGCCTGGATGTATGAGGCTACAATGTCACAGTGAAATTTCAAATGCTAAATTTGGTTGAAGAAGGTTTATGCTCCTTAAATCGTATAATTTCTATGGCATTCTGTACTGTCAGTGTGTTACATGTAACTTATGCCACTGCCAGTGCATGTGGTGGTGATAGTACTGTGTAGTTTTTGCCTGCATTAATTAGTTACAGGTGGCAGCTCTCTATTTCAGCCTGTAGGCTTGCGTAGGTAAATGGATGAGTGCTTACCTATTCTGTCTTGCAAATAGTTGTTGCTACTACGTACGATGGGAGCTTCCATCTTTAATCTTGAGACACTTAAACGTACGCGCCATCTCGTGGCAACTTTCATAACGATCCCAATGAACATTCCTTTGAGAAGGTTCCTGATACCACCCCTGTGCCTTCCACTGTTTCGGCGCGTATGTGAACACATTTGGTACTAACAGGGTTTACTAGAATCCCACCACTCCACCACAGAGTCACCGCAGTAGACGTTAGATGAGCGCTGTCGCTCCGCGGCACTAGTTATTCCTAATGTGAACACTAGAATATGCAGCAAAGCTGACATCGAGTAATATGTAAGAAATCGGGGCTGAAGTGCCGATCGCTGCCTTTATTATTAGCAAAAAACGCATCCAAATATATTCAGAAATATTTACCAATTGCATATACAGTTGCTGGAGAAATGGGAAAGCGATCCTTATGTATTATTGGCATTTAATCTCTTATTTATATGTTGCAGATATTGAGAGAGAAATAGATGAAGAAATCGATGGAGAGAAATCACCGAGTGGGTCTGAGGTGCAGCCAAACGATAGGGAACATTATGTATCACGTATGTCTTTCTCTCAAATCCACCATAGTGAAGCCATTCAGACATTAGTAATATTGTTGTAGAATATTGGTTCTTTTTTGCCACACTAGTTCTGGGCACACTACATTCATACAGGCATGTACACATGCAGAGTCGGATCAGACGCCCTACCACTTGTCGACCACTCCCAGCCCCCTCCTGAATTCTCTCTCCTACCTGGACAACTGCCACCGGCCTCCCGAAATTTCTCTTTTTCCACTCATGCATATTCCCTGGTTTATGGTTAATGCAGATAGAGCTGTATCTAACCTCTTAAGCTGGTGACATTGCCCAGTGTCAATGGGGCTAATTCTGTGGACCACTTGCAGACATTCTGCATTTTCGCTAGCAATTCCATTGCCTTGGTAAAATCAAACTGGCAAGCTATTTAGGGAGCGTTCGCTTAAAGGGATACTACACCCTAGAGTTTTAGGGTATATTCTGATAGTAAGTGTGTAAATAATAGTATATCCCTACAAATTTATATGATCATGCATTCACATTTGTTATATAACAACAGTGAATTTCGAAATCGTTATTTTCGGCCACTGACACCCCGTGATTGTACTGCCATGCACCCTGACAAAGTTACGCTTTTGCCGATTTATTTTGTGGGTTACAGACCGAGGGCTAATCATAAAAGTGCAATTATATTTATACATAACTGCTATTTAACCGAACGATTTTTATTTTAAGACAAATTAGTCCATGTTATAACTGAATCTATGTTTATAAAATGATTATAAAATATTGCAATCCTTCTCCTGTTAAATTAATAAATAAAAAACAGCCTTGGTCTGTAGCCTGCAGCCAGAAAGATGCGATGTGCAACTCTGAATTAAAGCAGATGGGCTAGTAGTAGCACTGCTGTCGTTGTAAGCAACGATACAGCTGTTAGTTTTAAAACAATCTTTAAAAATATTTCCAATGAATATTGACCAATGAAATTTTAAAGATTTTAATCAATGTAGCATAATCTAAACCTATTTTAACTGATAATATGCAAGGAATCTAGGGTCATGTATCCCTTTAACGACATTGCACTGTGGGGTCATCACCAAGTAGAGCCCCAATGCTTATTTGTCTAATCGGTGTTCAGGTCAGAATTGTTTCCGCGTACATACAGCACCCTCTTTTCATTGCAGGTGCACTGCGTGAGAAAGTCGATCAGTACAAACAGCGGAACAGCATTCGGATGCGTGTCAGCCGCATCAAGCAGACTCTTCAGGAACACATGCATAAGCAGAACGCACGCAGTGAGCAGTTGAAAAAGCTAGAGGGTGCTATTAAAGAGCAGCTGGAAAAAGCCGGTCTGGATGCCAGCGGTGAGTGAAGGGTAGAAATCGTGAACCAATGGCAGCTAGCAACTATCATTTTTATGGGTCACATCTCTTTATTAGTTGTTACTGCTAATTGTTTATACATGAATTTTGTATCGGTTTATCCCTTTTTCACACTAATTGCTTCACGTTAGATTTTGTATTACTTCCCCAGATACTGTCACACGATGTATTGCAATGGATTTTGCATTACTTCATTCTGTGATTGTTTTGCACATGTCTGTAAAGTAATTCACAACAGTCACTCTCGTTTGATCAGGTCAGAAGATTCAAGTTAGAATCGTGACGACAGGCTTCGATGTCACTGACAACGTCCACATGCTCTCCGACGAAGAGACACTTCAGTTCAAAAACCTCATCGCTAGTGTATTGGTAGGCGCATTGTAGCTATGAGATATTTGACGTGCCTCAGTTGCTTAACTTCTTATGTGGAAGTTTGCACATATGGTTCAAGTTGTGATAGTCAACTTGTTTCATTGCTCTAAGTTGATATGCAATACCAGCAGATTTGATTGCACATGAGTTTACCACCTGTATTTTGTTGATAGCTTATCAAGTATCTCATTCCTTCTTGCGATCTGAGCGGCTATACTCTTTCAGGGAGCAAATAAAGATATGATACAGGAAAAGGAGCGACACAATGTACTGGAGAAGAATTATAACTATGTCTGGCAAGCGTCTGTTGCTGCACAAAAAACCGAAACAAAACACGACACAAGTGACGCTGACCAGCAATCGATCGTTTCTGCTTTCATACGAATGGAGGATGAAGACGAGGATTTGTGAGCAACAACAAAAATATAATACACACGTGGTAAACAATCTGGTGAAAAACCAGCCAGTTTTAGCTGACGTTGCACCAAAACGAATTCATATTTCTTTTAGGAACTTTTAGTTGTTGTTTAATGAAGCCGAATTGCAAAAAAAATTTGTTTCAGATTGTTCTTTACTGTGGTCAGTAGTCAAAGAATTAGTGCTGGAAAAATTAGCAATTACTTACCGTGCAGTGGTTTCACGTTTTTGCATGCTCTTGTAACTGATGACGGTGCAGGTGCTCTCTCTGCATGGGCAGCTAAACGAATTACAGATCGTATAAGTTTGGAGGATGGCAAACCATATCTGTTACCTTTCCATTTAAACTGTGAATTGCGTGCTGTGTGATCGAGTTGTTAGACTAAATATATTCAAGAGGTATTGTAAATAGTATAAACAGATAAAGAGTGGTATGAGATATGTGGCTGTCATGTCCTTGCTTGTGGTATCAGGTTTTGTTGTGTTTGAGACAGTATTGTGATTATAATTGGCTTGCTATTCATATCATTTTCATTTAGATGTTTACGATATATTATTGTATTGTGTTACAATTTGGAACATATGCCTACAGTTTGCACACTACAATAAAAATGACTCCAAATGTATGCTAAATTGCTCCTGCACATATAATATTAGTAGATTTGATGAACTAAACTGGAAGGACATGTGTATGACCATTTGGCACCAAAGAATATCCCTGGTCATTAGTTCTCCTAAACATAAAGTATCATGCTGTCTCATACCTTTGTCGGTTTTGCATGACATTCTACTGCAGTACATTTGTTGTATATTTTGTAAATTTAATCATGAACATATATGTGTGTATACTACTATTGTATAGATATGTGTTCATGATGTAATCCATTATTGTGGTCACCATTTTTTATTTAATGTGATATGATCAGCAAGGATATAGAGCATGGTGTTATGTGCTGTACGAGTTTTTGGATACTCTCAGCTCCTCGTGGGCATGTTTATATATAGTTGGTTGGGTTGTATAATTTAAGATGCGTCAATGTACCGTCTTTCAATTAGTCATAATATAAGTGGCTAAATGTGCGCTTTCGCATTGGGACATTTACCCGTGTGTACATGCAGGCACGTGTGGCTATCTTTCTGTATGCTTTGTAAACTGTTATGGCGTTAGTTGTGTTGGTTTGTTTGATCACCGTTCTATCGTGTTGACTCACTGTTCACCAAAAAAGCGATGTTCCTGGCCGTATGACCTAGTTAAAGAATTTGAAAAATGTCTGGTTGAAATCCCACTGCTTGGGTTCAGGCATGCGTGCACAGCAACATTAACAGGCCTTTCAGCCCCCATCGGGATTGGTTGATTCTAGTAAGTTACTCGTTTTTAGCTGTATAAGCTTCATCAATGCATGCACTGTGATGCATGCATGTGCAAGTGGTAATTTCGTTTCCAGATGCACTAGGTAGAAGGGGCCTATTCAACTACGGTCATTAATAATCGTGACTGTCACATTTTTTACAAATCGTTATTCTGTTACTTCCAAGTTATATAAAAATATTTTCTATTATAAAGAGCCCAATAAAAATATTTATTAAAGAATTTCCCTTGTTCTTTTATGTCTTTTATTTTATATGTATATGACTGCATTGTCAGACACAACACGTTAATTTTTTCCAACCGTAAACCATTGCACAGGATTATCAAGGTTCCAGTAATGCTGTCAGAGAGCATCACAACAGCATGCCAGAACGTTACAGATTACAAGATACTGCAACCAAGACATACTCGGGCAGTAATTTGCAAAACATTCTGTCTGCAACTGTCTTAATTACCTGTTATCATATAGCCACAATACTGTCTTATTAAAATGTTATTAAATAGCTTTTGGCCTCAAATGCGGCCACTTTATTAGAGTACTCGGAACAATATCTTCAGAAATTTGCAAATCTGGACTAATAATAAAATGTATAATTACAAACGGAATATTGTTTAATCAATTTAAATCTTAATTAATCAGCAACGTGGTAACAAAGACACTGTGGCATCAGAACATGGTAGAAACAAACCTGTGAGGTAACTAGGAAATATTCTAGCAAAAGTGGTTATAGGAGAGAGCACGAAGGCATTTGACCATGACATATTGCTGATTGTCTGCATTTTGTTTAGAAAACGACTGAAAACATCTATGCCAGACTATAAACATCACAGAGACTCCACTAGGTAGAAGCCAGATTAAATGTTATTATACACAAACACAACAGCACGTCAAGAATACAACATTTAAATTTCGATTCATGATGATTTTATAGCATCTCTGAATTTACAATACAATTTACAATTGACGCTCACCTCCAAGAATTTCTAGTTGTCACATTTAATGCCTAAAATTGTTCTGGAATACGAGATGCTCCCATACCGGTGTCACGAACTCAACACGTCAGTGAGTTAGTCCTATTAACTATATAGTAAAATAGGATAGATGTACCAATCTGGACATCCAGTGGACGAATATCTATCTAGGGTGTATACCCAGCGTTTTCCAGCACTAGCTGCCTCGCAGAGAATATTGCCAAGTCTATCTCACTGCAACAGATTGTCTCAAAAAAATGGAAATAAACAATCGACTGCCTTGACGCCTTCAAATCCCTTCCACACATGTACAGAAGCAGCCAATGATGTGCATGTGCTATCGCACTCGTCAACGTTTTACATATCTGATTAGACGTGGACGTTGTAAACAATTGACGACTGTTGCCAGATTTGTAGCGCGACTACTTGCAGGCGAGCATGATCAGTAGGTTGCTCTGTCACGGTGGAGACAAACATTTCAAGCTATCACAAGTTGAAACATATAGTAAGCAGCACCAGCCACAATTCTTCCTCGTCCAGGTCCGGAACTGACAGTATTAGAGAGGATGTTAGTATAACCAGGAACAGATCTACCCATCTAATTGGTGGATATAATAAATTCCAAGTGAGACCACTAAAAGTTACCATGTTTACATGAGGCTCAAATTGAACATTAAAAACCCTATTCGTTCCCATAGATTTCCACTATTTTCTTCCAGAACGTTGCAACAAGTGATTCGTGTATCAAAAAAAAACCACACACAAGACGCAGTCACGCACGATGATGACACAGTCGACGACACGCAATGCAATCAGATAATGTGAAAATTGGGAAAAATCTTATCGTACTCTGTGTAAACATGGCGAGTCTGTGCAGCTAGACTCTGCTCTTGCTCCTCGTCTTGCTTGGATGCCTGCCCTTTATGATTGTCGGCTTGTTCTTAATTGATCCCTTCCGTATCTTCTTTGTCTGCAAAAGTGGAACGTTTGACAGGAAAGCAACTCGCAACAGAACGACTTAATGCTGCTAGGCTTGTACACCTTCAATGCAACTATGTTAACGTTCTTGATTTTAATTTTTGCTAAAACTTGTAACACTGGAATATTCCCTTACAGCATGTTGAATTATTACGTAAATGTCAAGGTATACTTACTATGGCCTTGCCTACACTGTAGAAACACATTTAAACTCATTTCTATAGCTGGTTTCTTAACATTTCCTCAGCATACTAAATAGTGTTGAGGAGAAATTGGTTATATGGCAAAACATTTCAATTTCAAAAATTCTAACACAGCCAACTACTATACCTTCTTGGAAATGTATCTTGACTTTCTTTTCTTGCTAACAATGTGTGGCTCGGTTACTTTCACTTTATTATTCAGGTCTTTCACCTAAAATCAGAATAGCGTAACCTGAATAGCACTCACGCAAAGGACAATATCTTGTACGTTTACCTGCATTGAGATATACACTATTTCATTATAAGGAACCAAAGGAACCTATAGTACAGTCAAGGTACAAAGGTCATTTAAGAAACCCCAAAATTGTCATTTATGAATAGGTCTTCATTCTATAGAGGTGATCACTCAAGGGGACCTGGGGACCACCTATCAATCTGCAATACGTTTTATCACCACCATACATTTCCACACAACCCGCCATTTTCCCGGCATCCGTCCACCTGCAGGTCCCGTTCGGGTCAGATAATCGAGACTCTAACTGCACCATAACCGTACCTTGTATATTCTAACGAGCCAGTGCTGTGTCGTGTACGCCTCTTCAAGGACAGACAACTTTACGTTCTTATCGCCGATCTCCACGTTGCGCGTACGATCATAGCCGGCTGGCGAGCGGTAGTCCAACTGCCGATTACAGAAATCATTACATGTGCAGGAAATTTCCATTCATTGAGAAACATTACATCGACCCAACGGAAATAGTGTAATGTAAGGAAAACAATCACACACCATCAATCGGAGAACAAGTCACCACAGGTACTCTTAATAGATGTAGTGTCAAAAAGATATGGTAGTAGTAAACTGCTTCTAGGTAATCGAGCAAAGAATGTATTAGTACCAACGCACATAGCAGAGGACATGAAATGATGGTAAAGTTGGAATGGTAAGACGGTACGTTTGGAATTTCATGCCAATAGAAAGATAGCTAAGAATGTGCTGTTGATATGAATAGCTTCAGTAGGCCTAAAAACTTGATAAAGGTCAGTCCTATCACAGCAAACACAAACGTCTGGCGCATTTCCGATCACGATACTGGAAAAATAATTTTTTTTTAACTGAAAATTACACCAAATCATTTAGATAGGAAGACAGTGAATCATTTGAGCGACTTGTTCACGTGTGTCACCTGTAGTTCGCCAAAGCGGTAGTAGCACATCTTGTACATAAGGCTCTTCATGAAGATGGGTGAGGCGGCGGCATCAACGCGGAACTCCCCTTGCTGTGTGAAATAGTCACTTTCCTGCCAGTTACAACCAAGTGTGATAAATTAGCCAAATAAAACACACAAGACATTTCACAATTTCACAATTGTATATTTTAAATAAATTAGTGACTTTGAATATGTTTATTCACATATTTCATTGTTACAGCTCATCACACTAATATTAAACTACACACAATGCATGCTTGTATATTATACCCTCCAATAGATGGCGCCACGATGCCATATTTGACTACAATGGTAGAAACCTATGCAATACTCAACATCTACTCAGTCTGTCATAGTTTCACAATCACTGTCATTGCATCACAAACCACACAAGACAATAAACTCGTAGTCGTACACAGTTTACCATCGAGATACACCGAAATACCTTGTTGTCAGGGCAACATTCCATTCAGCTATGCCACTTAATCGGTCCACCTTCACACAATTTTTCGACAGTATGAAGAAGACAAGAACATTCCCAGCACTAAACTGTACCTTAATCTCCGCTGGGTGTTCTCCCTCTGCAATGCGCACCATCCACAGGAACTTGTTGATGTCATCACCGCTGAAGCCAATCACGCCTCCGAATATGACAAGAACATAATCGACTCCCAAAGATTGCATGATCGAGTATGCAGCCGTCTCGTTCGATGACATCGCTTTTCCCACCTGAAGTAGATGGAAAATCACCATAGCTATAATCACAGTTAGATATTTCTAGCCAGTACTTAGTTATTGGAACACTAAGAAAGCGTGTGAACATGACAACATGCACCAATGATGTCACTATGATCCAATAAACGTCTTATGAACAAAAAAGAGTCATGCAACATTACAAACACAATTTAAAATCACAACTTCATTAACCAACATCATCAATTGGCCTGTATGCAAGTGTCACCCACAACAAACCTTTTATATGCAGGTTTTATTTATTCTCAATTTTCACACCAAAGCTAGCATGTTGCATAAACAAAACCTAACTTTATCAAAAAAACAGTGCTGAATGATTGAGTGTTGTCGTCAATTAAAGGAATAATAGGTCCATTGATTATGCAATGTTGACGAATGCTAGAGTAACTGGCACCTTGTGTAGTTAAAGGAATAATATGGCCATTGATTATGCAATGTTGACGAATGCTAGAGTAACTGGCACCTTGTGTAGTTAATAAGTGCATTACCTTATAGCCAAACGCGTATTAGTTTGTCCAATATCACTGCTGGTTACTAAGAAATGTCTAATTGAAATCCGCAGTCCAAAAATTACAGTTTCAAACCGCTGCCGGCGAAGCGGGTGTGATACAGATTTATAGCGCACCGGACATTTTCGCACGCATGCTCGGCCCTACGCAATGCTACCATCAGTGATTTCATAAAACATGGACGCTCGTGATAAGGAACTTTTTGTCAGGGCTGTCCACGTGCGTCCGTGATTAGTATGTGTGTTTTACTCTATTTCCATGTTTAGTCCGTGGCCGTGGTTACACCGCTGACACCTCCGTTTCATCTGGCGTCCAAAACATACGGGCCGCACAAATGTTTACGTCATCGCTTGACTCCTGGATGACATTTACGGCACGTAACTGATACGTTGATACATATCAACAACCAATTTCAAGTTTTGTTTGTAATGTAACCACCAGTGATATTGGACAAACTAATACGCGTTTGGCTATAAGGTAATGTACTTATTAACTACACAAGGTGCCAGTTACTCTAGCATTCGTCAACATTGCATAATCAATGGACCTATTATTCCTTTAATTGCTAGGTATCATAAATGTCTGAACGGAAACCCAGGCACACTGCTCACCAGTGCTATGTGACTGTTGTTCCACGTATTGTTATCTACGAGTGTGGTTCTGTTAGCCATTCCTGCTATCTGGTACCCGTAGTCCCACCACGACATCACCGTCGCATCATCTGCCGTGTTCTGTCGTAACCAGTAGTAAGCCTCTCGAAAGTCATCTATGATGTTGCGTGATCTGAAACGTGAAAAGTCAAAGCCACTGACCACCAGCAATGCGCAGTGAAATGTGCATCTATTCACGTAGCTTTACTATGGATTTTCCTTCACATCTACACTCACCTAGTCGTTAAATTTCCCAAGTCATTTCCTGAAATTTCCACAATGCACTCCACTTAATGCTCACATCGTTGGCAAATATTCTGAGAGCTGCCAAAAGTTTCAAAAGGCCCTAATAAACTTCAACCAACTCGTCTATGCCCTTATTAAAATTTGATAACCGCTAATCTACCGAAATCTTTCTGCTGAAATCTTCATAACAAATCTAAAATGCCACTAAATTATTAGTTGACTTTCGACCTCCTCTGCACTGACTGCAACAGCTCCACGCAGCTAACCCTGGTCACCCACATTAAGAAGCCTATTTCCTCTATTTGACTTCTGTCTGAAGTGCTCCGACTCTTTCTTACGACAGACGAGCGCAACTTGCGTGACGGTTTAGTGCGCTTCACGCCGAGCAGATTGGATGCAGACATGGGTCACCTACCCATCCTGTGCGTAGGAGGCAAGCACGATGCTGGGACTGGAGTAGGCATTACTCGTCACCCACGTGCAGTGTACGGCAAACATCATCAGCATCATCATCAGGCACACCATCACCAGACTGCGAATATTCAGGCCTAGATCCTCAGACTCCTTTGGCACTTCTTGCTTAAACTTCTTGATCTTGCCCGCCTGGAAGGATTCCAGAAGAAACATGATACATACACAGCAGCCCTAATACTTCTTTTCTTATGTTGTAGAAATATTTGTGCGAAACCATTTATCAACAAATTCGTACACTGCTTTACATTTTGTAGTAGTAAATTCACATCATGAATACAATTTTGGGGGATATTTTAGACATTATTTGTGGTTTTAAGATACTTATCACAGCTTTTTTTTACAGTTATGATCAGTCTCTCATAGTGATACCAGTCATCGACAATTTAAAAAAAATCACAGTAAGGAAACAAAAGAGGCATACAAACCTTATCGTAGAGAGACTTCTTCTTGTCATTCTTCTCCGGTTCATCACTGTCCTCGGCATCCTCATCCTCCTCCACCTTCTTTGTCTCATCTTCCTCGACCTTGAGATATTTTTCGAAGGTCACATTGAAGGCGACCGCGGACAGCACACAGACACAGGGTGTCAGCGTAAGCATGAGGCGAACCATCACACCCGCAAAGTAGGTGGCGCTGACTGCATACAGAGCAACTGCAAGAAAGAAGCAGAACTAAGAAATGCCGGATGATAGGGTTTGAACTACTAGCAGCACTACAGGATTTGGTTCAAGACAGAATTCCTGTCTCACTTATGATGAAGTTACATACATACGTCAGCAATGAAAACCTGAAAAGTCCAAAGAAATTCTGAATAACATGAACAGATGGCAACATAGCAGGGAAATTCCCCCCATACAAAAATGCTCAAGTTTTTGGCTACCGTAATTATACGGTAAACGGGGCATCATCATCATCATCATCATCATCATCATCATCATCATCATCATCATCATCATCATCCTTGTTTATTTGTTGACGCAGGACTAATTAGTCCCTCACAAAGAAGGGTGGGTCCTGAGGGGTGGGTCCTGCGGGCAGAAAATTCATTTTCAAGTTAACTAGTCAGAACGTTGAAAGGTTACCACTTCAGTCCACCAAGCTATGGCCACAGGCTGCTGCACATATATCGACAGTGGACTGAAGGGTCGAAAGAAACCCGGGATGGCAAAACGACACTTACTGAACACTCTCTCGTCAGTGACGTTCTTGATGCAGAACCACAATCCAGCGGGGAACGTGCAGATGAGCAGGTGTAGATCGAAGAAGAACGAGAACCACGGTGTCGGCTGATGTTCTGATACTGACGCAATGATTGGAATGTGGATCTTCGCATAGCCGGTGTCCCAGAGCGAGTAGAACCTCCCGCTCCACGGCGCAATATAGCCTGCCGAGAGAGGCAGCAGACATAGTACTGTGCTCTTGACAGCATATATGAGTGTCCTACCACAAACATGTGTATAAAGTTCTGTGCATATGATCGTGGTCCTACTGAACATATTTTTGCATCAGTGTGGAAGCATGGGTGCATACATAATAAACGTTAGCAAAGTGAGAGAGTGAGAAACGTGAATGCAAAACAACAGCAGTGATAATTATCAAGCAATGTTTGTGCACAGATGAAAACACCCAAAATGTAATGTTTTCCATAGACCAAAATAGATTTCCTCAACCAATAAAACTTGATACTAGTTTCACAATCGTCTCACATCCTGTTTTTACTGTCCTGACAAACATGTTTATTGGCTTACCTAAGTAGGTTAGTCCAACCACGGACACAAACACCAATCCAGCTGATGACACGATGGCAACAAAGAAGAACGTCTTGAACTCCTTCTTAGAAAGGAACGTCTGGATGTACTGAACAGCACCGTAGGCATTGATCAGCGCAAACACACCTGAAACACACAACCACAGCATCATCATCTCGGTCGAAAGTGGTGATCAGTGCCACGATTAATCTTTGTAGACCACACTGCATACAAACAGTGTGCATTCCTGGGTTATCGATAACATTTCAAGATGTTTTTACACTGCAACGATGCCTGCATGTAGGATACCGGCATCAAAATTTTCAACTGTAAACGACTGCCACGACAAATAATTGAAAAACATTGCCCAGAAATCTGATAGTAAAAATAACTTGAACATTGCTCCATCTACGAATCTGCGTCACAGTTACATATGAGACAAGGCCTGCATACACACCTGCTGCCGCCATGTGTTCGCTGGTCCTGATTGGCTGAAAGCCTACAAATGGAATCTGCATAGACAGGATCAGGCCGACGATGTAGAATACAGAGTACGCTGCAAACAGAAAACATGCATGGTAGAATACAGAGTACGCTGCAAACAGAAAACATGCATGGTAGAATCGATGAATGCTTTATGCTTGATCTCTTAAAGAGATGTTGAAGATTGTGTTGCTGTGCTGTGTTCAACAAACTCGTACCATCATCTTCTAATGTTAATTTACGCAATTTTTTTTTAAATGAGAAGATGTATGGAATGTGACACTTGTGTCTATGACAATACAGTGATGTGAGTATTATATTCTATGCTAACAATGCTACTGATATGGAACATATTCCGCATATTCAACTAAAGGCAAAATCAAAGAAAATTAATTCTGAGGAATGTTATTGTGAAAATAGGACTGATATGCCATAATTAATAAAAATACATAATGAATATTACGAAAGCATAATTACCGGGATAGCTCTGTTGATGGTAAGTGTAACCAGGCACCATTGGCTATGAAGGCAAATTACACTGGGCCACCACATGTAAAGTTTTCTGCCCTCTACACAAATGTTGCGTTTTTGAGCAGATGCATTACTCACCGACGTACACACGTTGGGAGAATCTTCCCATGAGTAGTAGCACGAACACATGTAGAGGGATCAGGTTGATGATGAAGACATAGCCACCCCATGCTGAGACCTACCAAAGGTACACACAGTTGCAACCAAGATTTATTAGCCCAACAGACATGCACAGAAAGCACTCACACTCATGCACGCTCGCACAGACGCACACGCACTTAAACAGACGTAAATCCAAGCACTGCATCCACAGACACATGAGCATACACTTTTCCTAACACACTCAAGACTGTCACACAAGCAAGACCTTCTGTGACAGATTTACAATCCACTCATCGTAATAACTTGCTAGGTTTTCTCGAACGATAACAACAGATACTTTAAACTTACCATGTAGAAATAAGACAGCGACGTACACACGGACCAGAATACAGAGCCGGTTTTCACAGATTTCAACTGAAATAAGATATTTGTACAATTAGGTATAAAAGTCCTTAACTACACGAAGACAATTTATTACCACACTTTATCTGTATTGTTCAACTGATATGACAGGGGAATTTACCTCTAGTAACTTGTATACGTATGCATTAGAATTTAATAGATACAGATAGATATGCAGCAAACCTACGGCATTAATAGCAATGGATTTTTAAATGTAATTTAATTTTAGGGTGTAAATTATAATTATAGAACTTATACACCACAGCAAGCTCTTCAACTTCAATCAAGATAGGTATCAGTATTCAATATTAAGATATGGAGAAATATTTACCCATAAATAGTAGGTGAACATAAGAGCGAAGATGGCAATGCCTTCATTGTCATATGAACCTGCCACTGACCTACTGATATAGCCAGGAACTGAAACACAGCACTCAAATTGGTAACTTTTCAATAAATTATGACAAATCGATACATGCACTGATGGAATTTTAACTACTGGAATAATATGTGCTATACAGATATTTTTACACTTTTAACATTATACAAGACAAGCCTGTGCATGAATTTAATAACTTTAATAATATATGAAATCACTTAAAAAATCTAAAGATAAACTTGTTTTGGATTTGAATAACATATAATTAAATGTCGCTTGACAAAGTAAGGCTCATAGGGTCATGTCCCCCAAGGTACTGCTGGAACGTACCCTGGTAACTATTTGATATGGTTAGGTAATAGGGTTAAGGAGTAGGCGACTCCCTAGACTCGTTAGTGGAGTAGGCGAGGTACGGTCCGCCATATTAGATAGTACCAGGGTACGTTCCGGCAGTACCCTGGGGGACATAGACCCTATCAGCCAAAGTAAGCCATAAAAAGGACCCACTGTGTTACTTAAAAGCTCGTGTGCCATAGGCTACAGTTGTCTATATCATTAATCTAGCAGGACGGCTAGCAATTGATGCATGTGTAATTTGCAAAATGATGTGAAATCTTATGTATCAGACATTCAACTGTTACAAACTCTTGCCCTAAGTGTAAAAGGTTTCCTATTATAGATATTTATGTTATTTCTGTGTCTGTATAATTACATCCAAATTCTAGCCTTGCCTTATTCAGACATGCTAGAGTTATGATCTCCATCCACGGATATTTCCGAGTTTATGAAAATCGACACATCCTAACTGAGTGTGTGTGTCAAACTATGAGCACCACACTTGTTACTAATTTTGGCTAAAGAACAAATCATTTAGTTTTTTGATTTTTTTTTTTTCAAAAACAAACTTACCAATAGCTATAAAACACGCTGCTAATAATCCTGCACCTCCATTCCACAGTTCTTTGGTAAACAGGTATGTGGCAATTGCTGTTAAACCACTGCAATGTATAACATTTAGTCAGACATGGGAAGAAAATTTATTAAACACATGACTAAAAGTGACTTGCTACCATTTGCTTTTGCTAAAAATACGTTACGAATCTATACACAAAATTCCTTATAATTTATGGCTCCGAATGTAAACCATGAACACTGGTTCTTTGTGTGTGTGTGTAAGAAATTTACTATACATTTTAGCTTAACATTTTTATGTATAGAACTTGTCATACATACCTAAACAGAGGTGCTAAAAAGACACATACATCTCGTATGTGAACGGGTATGTTTAATGTGTGAAGTAACCAGTGAATCCCACCAGATGTCACCATCAATCCTGGGTACACCTGCACATATTCAAACAGGAACAGATATGCATTAAATGAATTCAAGCATATAGCAAGCCAATGCACACTGAACTCTTCCATGAAATCCTCAGACTATGGTTGATTTTCTCTACTCTGTGGGCACACATGAATATCAATGAATACAAATACATGCACATACACAGTTTGGTTCAAGCCAGCTAGTTAGCTTCCAGTTCTTAATTTGGATATACGAAAGCACACTACAAAGTTGAACAGAGTCATAAGCCTTCTGTTAAATGCAACTAGAACCTAAACACTTTGCATGTGTGTACTTACAGTACCACCAACTATCCTTCCCAATGGGTACCATGCCCGTTCGTCGAACCAGTTCAAGAAATTATAGAAGCCATTTGTGACCATATGATGAGTAGCTCTGTAGTTAAACCTAAAACAAAACAATTGTGAGTAATATCAATTACAACTTCAGCAAATCATCTCAGACCAATTAATCGTGGATTTCGTGTTCTCAATACGTAAAAACTAGTTGACAATTACAATCTGGCATGTTGTATAACCTATAGTGGTATGGCAGATAAAAAAAATTATGCAGGAAAAGGATAAAGGAACAACTTTCAGAAGACCAACTGGTATAGCAACATGTTTTTCAAGAGCAAAAATATGGGTTATCATTTTATCGTTACTGGGCCAGGCAATTTACAGAGTAGTGCAATCCAGGACAGACCTGGGAAACATTTCTCCAATCAAGCAGGACCAAGATGTAGCAACCTACCTCAAGCTGCGCAGTCCAATAATTGGTACATTTGCATGGCCACTGTACGGTTAATATCTGGGTAATTCTATCTAGTAGCTGATAAATTATTTTACGAAAAATTAACCCATTCGTGAATAAGTGGCGATATGCATTGGTACAGCCTAAGCCATGCCATGACAAAATGCTGAATATTATCAAGAAGGTAATATTAATAAGGTCTCCAAATGTACCAAAACTTTGTCAAAATGTAACATTATTTTTACTACTTAGTACTTATAACATTTTAGAATGTACCAAACTCCACCATATGTGTACCAATTTTCTAGGGGAGCATGGCTCTGGAAACCTCTAGCAGGCTAATGGCCTTTGCTGGCTACATTGCTAAGAGACAATTGTTAAGGGGATTAGAGACTCCCACTTTCTTAATCATAGCTAATACTCTGTGGCCTGTTGTCAAAAACAAAATTAGTCTTAACATTAAGTTAGACTCGTACACCGTTGACAGAAACATCATAATGTTACGAGAGCAAAAAACCCTAGCAAATTTCCTCTAGTAGCAAAACCCTCTCGTAAGCAAGATTTTAAATAATGCATAATTTACACAAAGAATTGCAATGGGGTTAGCCGCTAGCAGTTAGAACAAGTCGCCGCTGTAGGGCAGCACCTCTGTAGTGGTGCATGATTATCCGCGTGCGTGGGATACACTATGGCGACATATATGACAAACTTACCGTACACTCTCTAAAAGTATAACTTTATGAAAGAGGAGCGTCATCAAGAGGTCGCAAAGAAGATTTGATACAGAAGATTTTACTACACAGCTCAGACCTCTCAATAATCTGACGGTCTACTGAAGTAACAAGGCCTCTTGGGCTACAGCCGATCATCGTTTTTAATTTAAAGTGTTCTTGTTTTTGTACGTAGAAAATGTAACACTCTGGTTATCAACTCTACTTGGTTTGTGAATAGCAGGGTCTCCAACCATTTTCAGAATCTGTACGATTTCTAGGCTTAATTTCTGCTTTCCACAGCGGCAAGGCTATATTCCTCATTTCAGTTGCATGGTAAAAAATTGGTGCCTGAGCACTGGACACGCGCCGGTGCAGTGGAGATGCAGCGTACTAGCTGCCCATTAACGCCCAGTCAGTTTGGAAGTGCATTACAAGTTACAACTCACTTACAAATTTATAATTTAAAATAATTAATCCAGCGAAACCTTGCATTTACTGTAGTATTCATCTAGTACTATATATATCTGTCAAGATTAGGTATAAATATGTTTGATTTGTTCTCTTTTATTCTTGTTGTTTGTGCACAGTGGCGTGCGTGCGGTGTACTTGTGTGTTGCAGATGAGCATTTGAAAGGCATTTGCAGCAAGTTATCGGCAATAATAGGCGAAAGAGAGTAGAGAAACATTAAGACTTTGGTAGTAAATACATTTCGTGTTTATTTACCTTCTTTTTTTTTATTGAGACGTTCCAAGTGCCTGTGTATACATGCCCCAACTTGGGTGACCAGCGCTCCTTGAGTTTATCTCCTCGATATTATTGTAATAACATAACCCCAATGTGCCCCACGCGCACGTTGAGAGACAATGTGTTATCACTAGAATAAGCAGCTGGACAATAGACCGGATTGTGGAAGTGCCCGATAAGCCTTTGAATGAGTAGATATATGGGACGTGGAAGAGACTAATATAGACTGATATAGTGACGGCATAGAAAGACACATTAGTCAGACACACATTTACTATGTAGAGAGCCGGAGAGAGATCGAGACGAGGCGCGGAGCCTGGGCATGGTTACCTAGGGTGCTGCAGTATGTATATATGTATATGTTCGACTGACTAATAACAAAGACAGAGTTATCTGCCATCTAACCTGTGACGCGCGCTGTCTCATTTGGAATCTGCAATCATTGCATCAGATGCATCGGTCGAAACATCTCTACTATTTGCTCACGAAACTACGCTGCTACATTCTACGAGAACCTGAAGTTACCACCTAAATGGAAGTACAACACCTAGACTAGAGATATCTGGCTATTTATTTGATTATATCAACAGAAATCGAGCAAAACTCATATATCGTGTTAGAAGGAGGGTAGTACTATAAGTAGCTATATGTATTAGGTATAAAAATGTTCGATTTGTTCTGATATGTTGATCAAAATAGTCGCAACAAACCGATCGCCGGTGGTTACAAACTTTCGCGACTCGCGGTTCTAGTACCTAGAGATATCTGGCTATTTATTCGATTATATCAACAGATATCGAACAAATCTTATATATTGGGTTAAAAGAAGGATACCTGATTTACCTGATTCTTCCCCTCACCTATAGGTTTGGAGTGGATCGAAGGGTAGGAAGACTACTCTCTTGTATAAACCCCCATCTTTACATATTCATCCACATGGCTTTTGAACGAGTTAATTGATTTAGCTTGTACTGCTTCTTCTGACAGGTTATTCCAGTGATTTATTACTCTTAAACTGAAAAAATGTTTCCTTAACTCTAGTCGTGCACGCGGAGTGAACAATTTGAGGCTATGGCCACGAGTACTGTTG